AAAATATTTGTGTTCCAAAACTTCCCCTACTTAATCTTTAAATCATCTTTCATGGGTGTTGCTGGATGGAGGGGTATGTTTATTTTCTGGAGACAACAATATATTTTTAAATCTAACAATACATGATAAAGGTTTTAATTGCGTAGCACCAGTGTAGTTTTGTAAGCATGTGATTTCAAATAATTTTATAAAACATTTTTTTTTTCAATTAGAATTTTACATTAATCGTTCAGCTTCTGGTGGGCTGCTGTCCCTTCCAGACCCCCTGCTTACAATTTCTTTTCAATTTGAAATAAACTTTTTTATCACTTCCCTTTTACAACGAGAAAAAATGGGTAGGATCCATTTTCCATGAATTCATATAAAAACAAGGGCATTTTTCAAAATTCCTACAATCTCTACTAAAACACACATTATTAGATTCATATGTTTACGGTAAGGTATTATCAACATCCTCAGCGTACCTCCGAATATTTCACTGGAAAGTAATCAATGCCAAAAGATGACTCAAAACTGCATACATTCTTGCTAGATTTAACACAAATTGGAGCAATTATCCAAAAATGGCGAGAAGGACAATTATATTGGAAGCGATTACTAAATCTTTACATCGGATCACGCCTACCAGATCACCCTACCTTGAGTTTCTTTTGTTCTGTAACATTTTGGCGGGAATGTCGAATACACAATAAACCTTAGAAATATTTACGCGGAATAAAGACTAACATTCAAAATTTGTGTAGAAAAAATCCACTACATTTCCAGTGTATATGCGGGGAATCGAACTCAAGACCTTAAGCATATATGAAGCCACGATTCATACCCCTACACCAGGAAGACTGGATACAAACTTACTGTTAGAAAATACTCACCCCTTCTCGTCAAATGAAAATTCAGTTTTTTTCCTTCTAATTTTCATAGTACATGGCTTTCCATGCACTATAAAATGCTATATATGAATGACTTTTCATTGTAGATTAATTATGAAAGTGAACTCGTGTAATAATTACACTAACGAAGTGTACAATCACCTGAGGCAATCTCCTTGGGAAAATAGCCTACTGATTAAAGATGAAAGAGAAAAGATTTATAAAAACATTTTGAATTTTGCAAATGTGTATCATGGTACAGTACATATATATAACAAACAAAAAATGAAATGGGGGCAAAGATGTAGGTAAAATAATCTTATATTCAGTTTTTATACCAGACATTTGAGTCAATTATTTTTCTTTCTTTCAAGAAAACAATGCCAGACTGCTGATATATAAAGCAAAGGATTTTTTTCCAGAAAAAAACACAATACATGTACATTCATCAATAAAAAGTAAGCATCTGATGTTGAATGGGCGAAATTCAAATATTTATAGAGTAAGTTTTATAATTATCAAAAAATATACAAATTTCAAAAAGCTGATTTATATAACATTGTGTGCTTTTCAAAATCAAGAAATTTTAAGGTATATAAGTTTTTAATTTTATCTGACGCAGAAGAAAAACAATGTTTGAACAATTTATCCTTTTTTTCCTCACAAAACTATTCCACCCATTGAAATAACCATTACCTTTTATTAACCTAGTTAACGCTTCATTATGAAAAGTGAATTCTCATTAAGGTTTGAATATTACAATGGGAAAGGATAATTTTGTAAGGTCACTCGAAAGTGTGAATATGTTCTAAGTCTAGGTTAGTCTATGAAAAGGTATATACTATGAAATTTAGAGCGAGGGGCTCATATTAGAACATACTCACCCCTCCTCGTCCAATGAAAAGTCAGTTTTTTGCCTTCTAATTTTCATAGTACATGGCTTTCCATGCACTATAAAATGCTATACATGAATGACTTTTCATTGTAGATAAATTATGAAAGTAAACTCTTAATAACTTCACTAACGAAGTGTACAATATACTGATTAAATATGAAAGAGAAAAGAATTATAAAAACATTTTGAACATTGCAAATCTTTATATTAATGGTACATATATATAACAAACAAAAAATAAGATAAAATGGGGGCAAAGATGTAGGCAAAATTATCTTTTATACCAATTTTATACCAGACATTCGAGTCGATTATTTTTTTTCAAGAAAACAATGTCAGACTGCTGATATATAAAGCAAAGGATTTTTTTTTGAGAAAAAAAACATCATACATGTACATTCATCAATAAAAAGTAAGCATCTGATGTTGAATGGTCAAAATAAGTTTTATAATTATCAAAAAATATTCAAATTTCCGAAAGCGGATTGATATAACATTGTGTGCTAATTACAATCAAGAAATTTAAGGTATATAAGTATAAAATTTTTACCTGATGCAGAAGGAAAACTCAAATGTTTGAACAATTCATCCTTTTTGTCCTCACAAACTATGTCAGTGCTATTTCATTCCATCCATTGTAATGGTCATTACCTATGTTAAATACTCACTTCATTATAAAAAGTGAATTCTTATTTAGTTTTGAATATTACAATGGGAGAGGATAATTTTGTAAGGTCACTCGAAAGTGTGAATATGTTCTAAATTAGTCAGACAATACTTGGTCATGTTTTATGAAGATTTAAAGCCCTCGGCTACGCCTTGGGCTTTAAATCTTCATAAAACATGACCAAGTATTGTCTAATCTATAAGTATATACCTTTTCCAATTTAGCACATATTTACAACTCGAGTAATCTTTTAATTAGTCTATTGATAGTTTATTTTGGCTGACTACTTGTAACACAGGTGTTTGTAAAACGGAGCTCGGTAACGAAGTTTTGTCAATCTACTCACTAGTATCATTGTAAATTATGTGATTTCAAAAGGCCTTTGACTCCAGAATGAAAAGATGGTAGCTGCTGGTGTAAGTATGTTTATTGATAAAAGCGGCGTTTTACTATACATGTACTACTTTACATGGTAAGATAACAAAATAAATTGACCAAAAGCAGGCAATAATTAAATTGCAGTGGAAGCTTTACATGTCTTGAAAACAATTTTCAATTTCACAGTAAAACTAAAGCTATAATAAATTTGAAACGTATAGATAGTATGCACAACATGGCTGGATCCATCCCTGGTATGTCCCCATAGATAGTCTAGCGGATAGTCATTTAAAAGCAACTACCAATAGATAAAAGATACTAGGGTTTATGTTTTTTTTTAATTCATTTCAAAGTAAAAACTAAAAGATTTATCAGAATATGTATATATATATATATATATATATAGGTGGCACATTGTTTTGTTATAAATTACTGAATTGTTTCATAATTTTTGTGTCGGAGCCTTTTATAGCCGACCATACGGTATGGGTTTTTTCTCATTGTTGAAGGCCGTACGGTTGCCTATAATTGCTTACATCCACTTCATTTGAACTTTGGTGGATAGATGTCTCATTGGCAATCATACCATATCTTCTTATTTTTATATTAGAAAGTTATTTTAGAAGGATAAAAGATGTTAAAACAAAAATCTAATTTTAAATCATTATAAAACCGGATAAAATATAGGCTGAGATCCTTAAACAAAAATAAATTGATCTTTAAAAAATAACTATTGTCTCTATTGAATAGTCTCAAGTAAATATTTACTATAACAGTGTATTCTAAAGTTCGACTGGACTATTAAATTGCGTGTAGCACGTTTTCTGGTAATATCTTTATTTCATTAAGGTATTCGTTAATGAACAAGTGTCAATAAGTTCAAATTTATATTTGTGTCAAAATTTCATTTACTATGAAACTTTGATTTTGATTTGCATATGTTTCAAAATGTGAGTTTCAATATATTCATGGAAAGCAGTTTATCTAAGCGATGAGTGTTTATTGTGCTTATTTTTCTGAATAAAATTATCTTGAGTCATTCTTTGTTTCCTCAAAATTTATGTGGTACATGGATTAAAGCTTATCGAAGTGTGAGGTAATATGCATTATTTGATTCATGAAAATTATTGAAATCATAGTATTGATATTAATTTCCAAAACATTTTTTTTCCATAGTGCAATCGGAATGTTTCCCCCAACACAACAGAACAATATATAACTTTTTACGGAATTTGCACATTGAGTGATAAATATAATTTGTCCAGTGTATTCGTGATATATATCTATGTACATCCAGATTAAAAATAATGCCAATTTAACAGTCAACTTATATGTTTCTTAAAAATAATGATTGTGCAAGAATACAGTTCTTACAAATGATAAACGAAACAAAAACGTAAAAGGGTTGAAAAATTATATTTTCTTTCTAAAATCGTTGTGCATCAGAATCTTTCAAAACGGAACGTCATTGAATCAAAGAAAACAAATTGACTTAATCGGTGCATTGTTAAATTAATTTTGTAAAATAAAAGAGCAGATAAAAATCATTAAAGGTTCAAGTTGAGAGTTTTCGCTTAAATGATAATGCATCATGCCAGTTAATTCAGGCAACAGTAGTTTATCGATGTTCAAATCTCATAAATCGATTAAGAAGATAAACCAAGGTTACAAACAAAAACTCAGGGAATCGGATGATTTCCAAAAGGAGCGAGATAATTTTAGTTTATACTCCATTATATCTAGAGCAGCACAATTTTTTGACCGTGACAAGCAGAAAACAATGAAAAGAAGAGATGGTACAGGAAATTTAACAATTTCAAATTCTTCTAGAGTCATTAGCATTTAGTGTACCTTATGGTCATTTTTTATCGTATGATCGTTTTGTGAAAAGAGGTAGTGCCGTATTTTGCATACATAATAAAATACACAAACAACTATAGGTCATCGTACAGTCTTCATCAATGAGATTAACTCATACAGCATAGTCAGCAATAAAATGCCCCGAAATGACAAATGTAAAACAATTAAAACTAAAAAAACTAACACTTGTTTTTGTCTGTTCCACATGATGTCTATTAGGTTGTCTGAAAATTTTCCCATGAAAGAAGATACAAAACGAAACGGACATTAAATTGTGAAAATTGTTGAACAATTAAGTCTAAACGGAAACACTACATTTATGTGACCCGGATTTGTTTTCTCTCAATCGATTTATGACTTTTGAACACCGGTATACCACTGTTGCCTTTATTTGTTGAGGAGAATTACAACTAGTACGTACTAACGAGCAGTATGTTTCAAATTTCCGTTATTTTTGTCAGCATTTTGTTGTTGACTGATTGTAAAACCATTGGTAATGATACAGAAGCCAGTGACATTTCAGACCTTGTAAAACAAGTTGAAGATTTAGAAAATAAATTGATAAATTTAAGTAAGTATAACAAATTTATATCCTGTTGTTCATTTGGTTTATGCTCGTCATGTAGTATTTCCGTATTTCCAAACCTTAAACTCTAAATGTAATTGCTGAAATACGAAACATTGATAATAATAAGCTTTTTCTGTTGTAAACTTGTTTATAAGTAAAACAATAAACTATACAGTTGTAATAAAGGCAAAGATATCTATAAGTGATTAAGGTGAGGTATAATTGTTCCAGTATAGAAGGCGTCTGATCAATTTACGGTTATTTATACCCTAAACTCTCTGAGTGGGTCGTGTATTGGTATCACTTTGTCCGATCGTTGCAATCGTTGCAAATTTTTATTGAGGAATGATAAGATATTTATTTAGGGTTTGATTATATTAAGTTGAACTGTGCAACTGATTTTCATATCAGCTTTACAGTAAATCATAGTTTGCTGATACATAGATTTGTTATCATATCCACTGCGCATTCGATTTTTGTTTTATATTTCTTGGCTTGTATGGAAAGGAATGACTTCGTCTACATTAATGAAGAGCCATTGATAATTAAAATGTGTTTGCGATAAATTTATATTCATACCATACCATTATTATAAGTACAAACCTTTGTTTTTCTTCTAACACTCGAAGAAATGTTTTATACATTACTTAAGCTAGGGATAATTAGAAGAAAATTAGAGAATATTTCTTAACAATGTGATTTTCTTAACAGGCGATAACCTTACAAAAGACCAAGTTTTGCTTTACGTCACATTATCAGAGAGCATGAAAGATGTGAGCAATGAAGTGACTGTTATTTTTGACAGACCCCAGATAAATCCCGGAACTCATTATAATCAGAATGATGGAATATACATTGCACCTTTCTCTGGACAAGTCATGGTTTTCTGGACAATTGGCACTAATGAGACTGCAAGAACGGAACTCCTGGTTGAAGATAGAGTTGTCGGTACTTTGATAACTACTGCAAGTTCTGTGACCACCCAAAACAGATACGGTAGTTCCAATACAGTGAAAGAATCCTCATCTTCCACCGTGGCTGTTACTGATGTTCAAAAGGGAAACCACATATTTCTGAGAACTGCATCAGATGATAACCACATTATCAAAACTGTTTCATCTTTACTGATAAGACGTACGCTTTAAGTTAAAAAAAAATGAGTCATACTTTTTGCATTTACGTTGGAGCAATTGGTATAACAATTTGGCTTCAAACCAATTTCATCCTCAAACGTTTGAACTATTCTTTCGATGAGATTTTATTGAAATGTTTTTATGTCCATTTTTGCTTGCTTTTCTTTCTACACCTACTGTAGACGGCTTATCATAGTGTTAAGTTCAAAACCTAGTTAGTAGTTTTTAAAAACGTAGACCAAAAAAAAGCATTCAGAGGTCAACATTGATTAAATGATGTCGCTAACGTATCACGTTTTTTTTGCAACCTCAACCTGTGACATATGAGGAATGCATTTTTCGACTGATTTTAATAATTAGCTTAAAAACGCTTTTTTTCTAGTATCATGACAGTCTAATAAAAATGTATTCTTTTCAATGAATTGCTGAACAAATCTAGAGTCTACCTATGTGAATAAGATATTCTAAATGCATTTACATAAATCTGCTTGTGTTTATCTTTTGAAACAATAAAGTTAGGTATGTCTGTCCAAAAGATAAAAATGTCCAAGAAACAGAAACTTTGTAAATTTCGACCCAATTATCTCTAAAAGAAAGCACATGAGAATATATTTTTTTATATAGATTTTAATTGACAAGAGGAAAAATAGCTTGTATGGACATTTTCGTCAAAAATCACCGTGCAATCCTAACTGTGTTGTATGCGCTTAATCAACATGTCATTACCTACAATATTTTTTAAATACTTCTGTCAACTTTGTATTGTCACTTGTTTTTAATTAAATATATTTTTATTTCCCTTCGTTTGATTTATTGTTGGAAATATACCTAAATATTGCCGTATTTTGCAAACATAATATATTAATGAGATGTTCAGTTGTTTGTCTATTGAGATTTATTCTGTTAAACGGGGGATAATACAGTTTGAACCATGTCCCATCGCCCATTACAAATGCATTATTCGTCCGACACATACTTTAGCTATACATTATGTACACATTCGCAAGTCCAGAAACCTTCAATTGAATAATAAAAGAATTGAAAGGTGAGTTTTTAAATAAATTGAACAAATGGATACTGAGGTATGCGTCTATGAGTAGTATCAAAACCCACGTTAACACCGAAAGACATCTAGAGGTCAAAATACGGTCTCCAAGCAGAACAAATGTACTTCCAATATATCTATCTATAAATTGTTAAGAGCCTTTGAATGTTTTGCATAGATTCAACAAGACTAAATGATTTGACATCACGACCTCAATACCTAAGTAACAAACACTGTCATAGATCATTTGCTCCTGCTACAAGTGTTTTACGCATTTATTGTTATTGATATTGATACACATTTTCACTTGTTATTGTCTGTATCATATGATGTATATTAGGATGTCTGCAAATTTCCCATAACCAAAGATACAAAACAAAACGGAAATACAAATTGCGACAACTGTTGCACGATTAAGTTTAAACACATATGTTCCCTTTCCCTCAAAATATATAGTTCTTCGATCATTTTTGTTGATGAGCATTACAACTAGCCCGTACTGACGAGAAGTCTGTTTCATATTTCCATTATTCTTGTCAGCAATTTTTTTGTTGACTGGTTGTAAAGCAAGTGGAAATGATAAAGAAGCCACAATTGACATTGCAGAACTTGTCAAACAAGTTGAAGATTTAGAAGATAAATTCAGAAATGTAAGTAAGTGCAACAAATATTTTCTACTGTTTGTTGATTTGGTTCATGCTCGTCATGTAGTATTTCCGTATTTCCAAAACTTAAAAGTGCATTTGCTGAAATACGGAAAATTGATGAGTAATAAGCCTTTTTTCCTGTTGTAAACTAGTTAATGAGTAAAATAATGTTATATACAACTGTAATTAATTCAAGAATATCCATAAGTGCTTAAATTGTTTTAGTATAGAACCCTTCTGTTCTATTTACGGTTATTATACCTTAGACTCTCTGAGTGGGTAAGTATACTGGTATCACTTTGACTGTCGGTCTTTGATAACAATCGTTGCAAATTACTCTGGTTTTATATATTTAGAAATGATTAAACTTTTATTTGGGGCTTGATTATATGTAAGGTGAATTATAAATTTATAATAAGTTTAACTGTGCAACCGATTTTCATATCAGCTATACAGTAACTTCATGTTCGCTGATACATATATTTTTTATCATATCCATTGAGCATGGGATTTTACATTGCACCTCTCTCTGGAAGAATTATGGGTTTCTGCACAATTGGCACTAACTAGACCGTAAGAACCGAACTCATGATTGAAGATAGAGTTGTTGGTACTTTGGTGACTGCTGCAAGTTATGTGAAATCCAGAAACATTTACGGCAGTTCCAATACAATGAAAGAATCTTCATTATCAACCATGGCTATTACTGATGTTCACAAAGGAAACCAAATATTTCTGAAAACTGCATCAGATGATAATCACATTCTCAAAACTGTGAAGTACTTACTAATAAGACGTACGCTTTAAGTTGAAGAATAGAAGAAACAAAAACACTTTCTACGCCATTTGGTCTGTGGTTGAGGGTTGTATTATTGACAATCATGCCACATGTTTTTATCTTTATATTCCTCATATCTCTTTGATCTGTTTGTATTCACAATTTTGGCCTCAGACCAATTTCATATTCAAACGTTTGTATCTATTCTTCGGATGAGAACTTTTTATTGTATGTACTCTATCTCTGGGGATTTATTTCTTTTCTCTCTAAGCTTCTGAAGACAGCTTATCAAAGTTTATCTGAGTTTTTAAAGATGCACCACAAACAAAGGCTTTTGGAGTTCAACATTGATTAGAATGTCATGACCTAAGAATATTCATATTACAAAAACTTGAAAAATTACGTAACAGTTTAAGCACTGTAAGAGGTTATTATTTAGAATATGAACGTTGGCAATGTTTGAAACAGATTTGTGAAGTCTTAAACTTATGTCTCCATTGAATAGTCTAAAATGAATATATACGAATACATTTTATATAAAAGTTCGACTGTTAGAAAGTAAAATAACAAAAATACCGAATTCCAAGGAAAATTCAAAACGGAAAGTCCCTTATCAAATGGTAAAATCAAACACATCAAACACATCAAACGAACGGAAAACATTTCATGTATTACGTTGTTTTCTATATAAGAAAATTCCTGTACCAAGTCAGAATATGACAGTTATTTTCCATTCATTCGATGTGTTTGAGCTTATGATTTTGCCATTTGATATAGGGCTTTCCGTTATGAAATTTCCTTGGAGTTAGGTATGTTTGTTATTTTACTTTTTTCTAATATTTATATTTCACTACGGTTTTTGTTCATAATTAAAGTGTCAAATAGTATAGTTCTCATTATATTTGTGTCAAAATGTCATTAATTGTTAACCTTTGATTTGATTTGCAGGTTTTTTTTCTAAATGAGAGTTTTAATATATTCATAAGCTGAATAAGAGAGGCGAAAGATATTAAAGGGATATTGAAACTAAAAATTCATGGCAAAAAACGGAAAACGACGAAAAAACAAACAACAGTACACAAAACACAACATCGAAACCTGTCTAAATATTGAGCAACACGAATTCAACAAAAACCTGGAGCGATCTCATGTGCTCTGGAAGGGTAATCGTATCCTGCTTCACATTTGGCACCCGTTGTGTTGGTTTTGTTCATCTCTAGTTCAGAAGGATATATTAATGGGACCTTATCAGAAAAGTTTGGATTGATAATTGGAAGAACATTATCAATATACTTGTTTGTAATTTTATATGTAATAAGTAATTCAAGGGAAAACAATATAATTATGAGTTTAGTCACACCAGTTTTAAGCAAAGAGGGCAAAACTTGGCATGTTTTGTATTTAAATGTTACAAATATTATCAAACATCCAATTTGTGTTGCTTGTATATATTTTTACAGAAACTCTTATTAACAAACACAATTGGTATTATTTTATTTTAGAACATTTACCACCAAAACATCCTACTAGAAAAAATAAGTCGTTCACATTTCAGTGTATTGTATGATAAATTTTTATCGTAAGATCGTTTCGTGAAAAGAGGTTTTGTTGTAGTTTGCATGCATAATATAATAGATTCAAGATGTTAAGCTATTTTTTAATTGAGATTTATTCTGTTAAACAGGGATAATCAAGTTTGAACCATGTCCCGGCGCCCATTACAAATGCATTAATCGTCCAAACGTACGTAAAGTATACAGTGTGTACGCATTCGCAAGTCAAGAATGATGGAGTAATTTAATTGAATACTAAAGAAAACTTAACAACTGGTAAAGGAATGAAAGACAATGAAAGAACATTCAATTGAATAATAAAAGAATAGAAAGGTTAGTTTTTAAATAAATTGAACAAATGAATATTTGAGGTATGTGTCAATGAGTAGTGCCAAAACCAGATTTAACACCGAAAAAAATATAGAGGTCAAAATACGGTCATCAAGCAGGACAAATGACTTTCAAAAATATCTTTCTCTAAATTATTTCAAGTCTGTGTATACATTTAGTTGATAATAGGACATTATAATATGTTATTGTAAATCATCAATTTGAATATCTTTCTTTTCAGAAAAATACAGTAATTGATATCAATATTTCATATTGTGTAATTGTAACTTGTGATATGTATACAGAAAGTAGTGTGATTATAATACAGATAAAAAAATACAATCCAAATCTGTAAGTTTTCAAAAATTTTAACTTATCAAGGATCTGACATTATGACCTTATTACCTAAGTAACAAAAACTGACCTGGTACAAGTGTTTTGTGCATTTATTTATGATATGATATCCGTTTTAACTTGTTATTGTCTGTACTACATGATGTCTTTTAGGTTGTCTGATAATTTCCAATGATTAAAAGTACAAAACAAGACGGGAATATAGATTGTTGCACAATTGAGTGTAAACGGAAACACTACAATTATGTTTCCTTTTTCTCTTGAGGAAAAATTAACTCAAACATATATACTTCTTCGACCATTTGTTTTAGGAGCATTACCACTAGCACGTACTAACGAGCAGTATGTTTCAAATTTTTATTATTTTTGTGTGCATTTTTTTGTTGAGTGATTGTAAAGCCATTGGAAATGATACAGAAGACAGTAACATTGCCGACCTTGTAAAACATGTTACAGATTTAGAAAATAAATTGAAAAATTTAAGTAAGTATAACAAATATTTTTCTAATATAAAAAAGAAGATGTGGGATGATTGCCAATGAGACAACTCTTCACAAGAGACCAAATGACACAGAAATTAACAACTATAGGTCACCGTACGGCCTTCAACAATGAGCAAAGCCAATACCGCATAGTCAGCTATAAAAGGCCCCGAAGTGACAAATGTAAAACAATTTAAACGAGAAAACTAACGGCCTAATTAATGTACAAAAAAATGAACGAAAAACAAATATGTAACATAGCAACAAACGACAACCACTGAATTACAGGCTCCTGATTTGGGACAGGCACATACATACAGAATATGGCGGGGTTAAACTGTTAGCGGGATCCCAACCCTCCCCCTAACCTGGGACAGTGGTGAAACAGTACAACATAAGAACGAACTATAAAATCAGTTGAAAAAGGCTTAGCTAATCAGATGGATAAAATAGAAATACATCTAACAAAAACACAGAGTGGACGTGGCCGGGTACTTGTACATCCCAACAACAAAAAGACCCTAAGTACAGATCTGAGAGTTCTCGCAGTTACTGACAACTAGTTCAAAGCCAATAACAACTGATAAAAAAATCATGCATCTAAGACTAAATTATCAATAAGTACACATCCAACATCCAATGGATTTAGTGAAAAGACGTCATAAACAGTCAGAGAAAAACATGACCTTGTGCAATGCCAAGATACAGGTATCGACAGATTGTAGATCCATGAAAGTGCATATGTATATAACAATAATATTTAGTTTGCTTTTAATTTACTGATAACAAAATCAATATTAATACCAATAAAAACAATATTCAAAGATCTAATTACAGTGTTGAATTGGTAACCTTTTAGAATAAGTTTATTTAAAGGATCGATAAGTTATAGAATAATCGTTTCACAGATGATATCGGATATGTTCCTTATGTCGTAACTACAATACCCTTCCCTTTTCACGAATGTGACAAACCGAATTAGACTATTTACCGGATTTGTAATAACATAAGCAACACGACGGGTGCCACATGTGGAGCAGGATCTGCTTACCCTTCCGGAGCACCTGAGATTACCCCAAGTTTTTGGTGGGGTTCGTATTGCTTAGTCTTTAGTTTTCTATGTTGTGTCATCTGTACTATTATTTGTCTGTTTGTCTTTTTATTTTTGGCCATGGCGTTGTCAGTTTGTGTTCGATCTATGAGTTTGACTGTCCCTCTGGTATCTTTCGTCCCTCTTTTACCAGGATCGTTTCTGAATTTTCGGGCACGGTAAACAACATCTCCGTAAAAATGAGGATGTGATATCACGTTTGAAATAAGTTTTCTACAGGTACAATCAAACTTAAAAACCAAACCTTTATATCTATGGAAGAATTTTGTAAAGGTTTTAAGTAATTTGTGGTAACGAAATCCCTGACTTAATAATTTACCAGTAATACATAGATTACGTTCATTAAAATTTAAAACGTCACAACAGACATGGGCATAGCGAACGAGTTGTGAAATATAAACACCGTAAGATGGTGCCAAAGGAACATCACCATCCAAAAAAAAAGAAAATTAACAATTGTGAACGAAAAATCGTCCCTTTTGTCGTAAATTTTAGTGTGGAGTTTCCCGTATAAAACTGAAATATCTAAATCTAGGAAAGGACAGTTATTACCGTTTACATTTTATTTATTTAAAATTTGTTTCTTTGTTTATGCTCGTCATGTAGTATTTCCGAATTTCCAAACCTTAAACACTAAACGCATTTGCTGAAATACGGAGAACTGATGAGCAATAAGCTTTTTTCTGTTGTCAACTGGTTAATTAGTAAAACAATGAAATTATAGTTTTAATAATTTTAAGTATATCTATATGTGCTAAAGGTGCACTAAAATTGTTCCAGTATAGAACGCTTCTGATCTATTTACGGTCAACTATACCCTAGACTCTCTGAATGGGTAAGTATACTGGTATTACTTTGTCCGTCCGTTTTTTATAACAATCGTTGCGAATGACTCTGGCTTTTTTATATTTAGGAATGATTGGATATTTATTTGGGGCTTGATTATATGTAAGTTGAATAATAAATTTATAATAAATTTAACTGTGCAACCGATTTTCATATCAGCTATACAGTAACTTTCTGTTTGCTGACACATATAATTTTTGTCATATCAACTGAGCATGGGATTTTTTACTATATGTTTTGGCTTGTATGGAAAGAAATTACTTCTTATACTTCAACAAAGAACCAATATTATTGAAATATGTTGATAAACTTATATTCATACCATACCGTTATTATAGTTACAAACTTTGTTCTTCTGCCAACACTTGAAGAAATCTTTTAAACATTTCTTAAGTTCGGGATAATAAGATGAAAGTGATTTGGGTTAAATTTTACACGACCTTGCGTTCAAGTCTTGTTCACTCAGTCTTATAACTCTATATATATAGATCATTCAAGAAATCTATTATTTTCTGAACAATGTGGTTTGTTTCTTTAACAGGCGATTACCTTACAAAAGACCAAGTTGTGCTTTACGTTACATTATCAGAGAGCATGAAAGATGTAAGCAATGAGGTGACTGTTATTTTTGACAGACCACAGATAAACCCGGGAAACCATTATAACCAGAATGATGGAATATACATTGTACCTTTCTCTGGAAGAATTATGGCTTTCTGGACAATTGGCACTAACGAGACCGCAAGAACCGAACTCATGGTTGAAGATAGAGTTGTCGGTACTTTGGTGACTGCTGCAAGTTCTGTGACAACGAAAAACAGATACAGTAGTTCCAATACAGTGAAAGAATCCTCTTCATCGACCATGGCTGTTACTGATGTTCAAAAGGGAAACCACATATTTCTGAGAACTGCATCAGATGATAATCACATTCTCAAAATTGTGTCGTCCTTACTGATAAGACGTACGCTTTAATTTGAAGAATTGAAAAAACTTTCTTCGTCATTTGGTCTGTGGTGGAGAGTTGTTTCATTGGCAATCATGCCACATTTTTTTTATTGTTATATTTCTCATATCTCTTTGATCTTTTTGTATTCACAATTTTGACCTCAAACAAATTTCATATTCAAACTTTGTAGCTAATTTTCGGATGAGGACTTTTTATTGTATACTCTTTATGTCTGGGGTTTTATTTCTTGTCTCTCTGAGCCTTCTGAAGACAGCTTATCAAAGTTTATCTGAGTATTTAAAGATGCAACACAAACAAATAAAATTGAGAATGGAAATGGGGAATGTGTCAAAGAGATCACAACCCGACCAAAGAGCAGAAAACAGCCGAAGGCCACCAATGGGTCTTCAACACAGCGAGAAAACCCGCACCCGGAGGCGGACTTCAGCTGGCCCTAAACAAAATGTGTACTAAGCCTTTAGAGTTCAACATAGATTAAAATTTGATGACCTAGAATATTCATATTGGAAACAATTGAAAAATACGTAACAGTTTAAGCATTATAAGAGGTTATTAATTAGAATATGAACGTTGGCAATAATTGAAAGAGATTTGTGAAGTCTTAAACTTATGACTCCATTGAATAGTCTCAAATAAATATATACAATTACATTCTATATAAAAGTTCGACTGTTAAACTTCATGTATCACGTTTTTTCTACATAAGGAAATGCCTTTACCAAGTCAGGAATATAACAGTTATTTTCCATTCGTTTGAAGTGTTTGAGCTTGTGATTTTGCCATTTGATAAGGGACTTTCCGTTTTGAATTTTCCTTGGAGTTAGGTATTTTTGTTATTTTACTTTTTCTTATATCTATATTTCACTAAGGCATTTGTTCATAATTAAAGTGTCAAAAATTTCTCATTTATATTTATGTCAAAATGCCATAATTATGAACCTTTGATTTGATTTATATTTGTTTTTCTAAATGAGAGTTTTAATATATTCATGGAAAACAGTTTATCAAAACGAGGAGTGTTTAAAAATCATGAATAAACATTTTCTCGGGTCATTGTTTTTTTTTCTTAAAAATGACATGTGTTACATGCATTAAAGTTTATCGGGATCTTAGACGTGTGGGGTAATATGTAGTATTTGATCTATAGAAATTATTAAAATCATTTTATTGATATTAGTTTTTAAATCATGTTTTTACATATCGCAATTGGAATGTTTTCTCGAACTCAGCAGAACAAAAATATGACATAAATGCTTAAAAAAAACTTCTATCTGAGTACGGAAATCGCACATTGATGGATCAATATGATTTATCGAGTTTATTCATGGATGTATATCTTTATTTATGAACACCAAGCATAAAGTTCATGACAATTTATCAGTTTAAAATACAAAAGAAATATACATTTCTTAGAAATAATGATGGTGTAAGGATATATATTTTACAGAGAATAAGAGAAACAAAAAAGTAAAAGGATTGAATTATCGTTTTCTTGCCTTGAAAACAGTGTACATCAGAAAATTTCAAAACAATATGTCATTGAATCAAAGAAAACTAATTGACTCTAAAGTATAAAAAAGAAGATGTGGTATGATTGCCAATGAGACAACTCTTCACAAGAGACCAAATGACACAGAAATTAACAACTATAGGTCACCGTACGGCCTTCAACAATGAGCAAAGCCAATACCGCATAGTCAGCTATAAAAGGCCCCGAAGTGACAAATGTAAAACAATTTAAACGAGAAAACTAACGGCCTAATTAATGTACAAAAAAATGAACGAAAAACAAATATGTAACATAGCAACAAACGACAACCACTGAATTACAGGCTCCTGATTTGGGACAGGCACATACATACAGAATATGGCGGGGTTAAACTGTTAGCGGGATCCCAACCCTCCCCCTAACCTGGGACAGTGGTGAAACAGTACAACATAAGAACGAACTATAAAATCAGTTGAAAAAGGCTTAGCTAATCAGATGGATAAAATAGAAATACATCTAACAAAAACACAGAGTGGACGTGGCCGGGTACTTGTACATCCCAACAACAAAAAGACCCTAAGTACAGATCTGAGAGTTCTCGCAGTTACTGACAACTAGTTCAAAGCCAATAACAACTGATAAAAAAATCATGCATCTAAGACTAAATTATCAATAAGTACACATCCAACATCCAATGGATTTAGTGAAAAGACGTCATAAACAGTCAGAGAAAAACATGACCTTGTGCAATGCCAAGATACAGGTATCGACAGATTGTAGATCCATGAAAGTGCATATGTATATAACAATAATATTTAGTTTGCTTTTAATTTACTGATAACAAAATCAATATTAATACCAATAAAAACAATATTCAAAGATCTAATTACAGTGTTGAATTGGTAACCTTTTAGAATAAGTCTATTTAAAGGATCGATAAGTTATAGAATAATCGTTTCACAGATGATATCGGATATGTTCCTTATGTCGTAACTACAATACCCTTCCCTTTTCACGAATGTGACAAACCGAATTAGACTATTTACCGGATTTGTAATAACATAAGCAACACGACGGGTGCCACATGTGGAGCAGGATCTGCTTACCCTTCCGGAGCACCTGAGATCACCCCAAGTTTTTGGTGGGGTTCGTATTGCTTAGTCTTTAGTTTTCTATGTTGTGTCATCTGTACTATTATTTGTCTGTTTGTCTTTTTATTTTTGGCCATGGCGTTGTCAGTTTGTGTTCGATCTATGAGTTTGACTGTCCCTCTGGTATCTTTCGTCCCTCTTTTACCAGGATCGTTTCTGAATTTTCGGGCACGGTAAACAACATCTCCGTAAAAATGAGGATGTGATATCACGTTTGAAATAAGTTTTCTACAGGTACAATCAAACTTAAAAACCAAACCTTTATATCTATGGAAGAATTTTGTAAAGGTTTTAAGTAATTTGTGGTAACGAAATCCCTGACTTAATAATTTACCAGTAATACATAGATTACGTTCATTAAAATTTAAAACGTCACAACAGACATGGGCATAGCGAACGAGTTGTGAAATATAAACACCGTAAGATGGTGCCAAAGGAACATCACCATCCAAAAAAAAAGAAAATTAACAATTGTGAACGAAAAATCGTCCCTTTTGTCGTAAATTTTAGTGTGGAGTTTCCCGTATAAAACTGAAATATCTAAATCTAGGAAAGGACAGTTATTACCGTTTACATTTTATTTATTTAAAATTTGTTTCTTTGTTTATGCTCGTCATGTAGTATTTCCGAATTTCCAAACCTTAAACACTAAACGCATTTGCTGAAATACGGAGAACTGATGAGCAATAAGCTTTTTTCTGTTGTCAACTGGTTAATTAGTAAAACAATGAAATTATAGTTTTAATAATTTTAAGTATATCTATATGTGCTAAAGGTGCACTAAAATTGTTCCAGTATAGAACGCTTCTGATCTATTTACGGTCAACTATACCCTAGACTCTCTGAATGGGTAAGTATACTGGTATTACTTTGTCCGTCCGTTTTTTATAACAATCGTTGCGAATGACTCTGGCTTTTTTATATTTAGGAATGATTGGATATTTATTTGGGGCTTGATTATATGTAAGTTGAATAATAAATTTATAATAAATTTAACTGTGCAACCGATTTTCATATCAGCTATACAGTAACTTTCTGTTTGCTGACACATATAATTTTTGTCATATCAACTGAGCATGGGATTTTTTACTATATGTTTTGGCTTGTATGGAAAGAAATTACTTCTTATACTTCAACAAAGAACCAATATTATTGAAATATGTTGATAAACTTATATTCATACCATACCGTTATTATAGTTACAAACTTTGTTCTTCTGCCAACACTTGAAGAAATCTTTTAAACATTTCTTAAGTTCGGGATAATAAGATGAAAGTGATTTGGGTTAAATTTTACACGACCTTGCGTTCAAGTCTTGTTCACTCAGTCTTATAACTCTATATATATAGATCATTCAAGAAATCTATTATTTTCTGAACAATGTGGTTTGTTTCTTTAACAGGCGATTACCTTACAAAAGACCAAGTTGTGCTTTACGTTACATTATCAGAGAGCATGAAAGATGTGAGCAATGAGGTGACTGTTATTTTTGACAGACCACAGATAAACCCGGGAAACCATTATAACCAGAATGATGGAATATACATTGTACCTTTCTCTGGAAGAATTATGGCTTTCTGGACAATTGGCACTAACGAGACCGCAAGAACCGAACTCATGGTTGAAGATAGAGTTGTCGGTACTTTGGTGACTGCTGCAAGTTCTGTGACAACGAAAAACAGATACAGTAGTTCCAATACAGTGAAAGAATCCTCTTCATCGACCATGGCTGTTACTGATGTTCAAAAGGGAAACCACATATTTCTGAGAACTGCATCAGATGATAATCACATTCTCAAAATTGTGTCGTCCTTACTGATAAGACGTACGCTTTAATTTGAAGAATTGAAAAAACTTTCTTCGTCATTTGGTCTGTGGTGGAGAGTTGTTTCATTGGCAATCATGCCACATTTTTTTTATTGTTATATTTCTCATATCTCTTTGATCTTTTTGTATTCACAATTTTGACCTCAAACAAATTTCATATTCAAACTTTGTAGCTAATTTTCGGATGAGGACTTTTTATTGTATACTCTTTATGTCTGGGGTTTTATTTCTTGTCTCTCTGAGCCTTCTGAAGACAGCTTATCAAAGTTTATCTGAGTATTTAAAGATGCAACACAAACAAATAAAATTGAGAATGGAAATGGGGAATGTGTCAAAGAGATCACAACCCGACCAAAGAGCAGAAAACAGCCGAAGGCCACCAATGGGTCTTCAACACAGCGAGAAAACCCGCACCCGGAGGCGGACTTCAGCTGGCCCTAAACAAAATGTGTACTAAGCCTTTAGAGTTCAACATAGATTAAAATTTGATGACCTAGAATATTCATATTGGAAACAATTGAAAAATACGTAACAGTTTAAGCATTATAAGAGGTTATTAATTAGAATATGAACGTTGGCAATAATTGAAAGAGATTTGTGAAGTCTTAAACTTATGACTCCATTGAATAGTCTCAAATAAATATATACAATTACATTCTATATAAAAGTTCGACTGTTAAACTTCATGTATCACGTTTTTTCTACATAAGGAAATGCCTTTACCAAGTCAGGAATATAACAGTTATTTTCCATTCGTTTGAAGTGTTTGAGCTTGTGATTTTGCCATTTGATAAGGGACTTTCCGTTTTGAATTTTCCTTGGAGTTAGGTATTTTTGTTATTTTACTTTTTCTTATATCTATATTTCACTAAGGCATTTGTTCATAATTAAAGTGTCAAAAATTTCTCATTTATATTTATGTCAAAATGCCATAATTATGAACCTTTGATTTGATTTATATTTGTTTTTCTAAATGAGAGTTTTAATATATTCATGGAAAACAGTTTATCAAAACGAGGAGTGTTTAAAAATCATGAATAAACATTTTCTCGGGTCATTGTTTTTTTTTCTTAAAAATGACATGTGTTACATGCATTAAAGTTTATCGGGATCTTAGACGTGTGGGGTAATATGTAGTATTTGATCTATAGAAATTATTAAAATCATTTTATTGATATTAGTTTTTAAATCATGTTTTTACATATCGCAATTGGAATGTTTTCTCGAACTCAGCAGAACAAAAATATGACATAAATGCTTAAAAAAAACTTCTATCTGAGTACGGAAATCGCACATTGATGGATCAATATGATTTATCGAGTTTATTCATGGATGTATATCTTTATTTATGAACACCAAGCATAAAGTTCATGACAATTTATCAGTTTAAAATACAAAAGAAATATACATTTCTTAGAAATAATGATGGTGTAAGGATATATATTTTACAGAGAATAAGAGAAACAAAAAAGTAAAAGGATTGAATTATCGTTTTCTTGCCTTGAAAACAGTGTACATCAGAAAATTTCAAAACAATATGTCATTGAATCAAAGAAAACTAATTGACTCTAAAGTATAAAAAAGAAGATGTGGTATGATTGCCAATGAGACAACTCTTCACAAGAGACCAAATGACACAGAAATTAACAACTATAGGTCACCGTACGGCCTTCAACAATGAGCAAAGCCAATACCGCATAGTCAGCTATAAAAGGCCCCGAAATGACAAACAATTCATACGAGAAAACTAACGGCCTAATTAATGTACAAAAAAATGAACGAAAAAACAAATATGTAACAAAGCAACAAACGACAACCACTGAATTACAGGCTCCTGATTTGGGACAGGCACATACATACAGAATGTGGCGGGGTTAAACATGTTAGCGGGATACTTTAAAATCAACTGGGTGAGATTTCAGAGTAGATAAAAACAAGACCCAGGTTAGATGTTCTAGCTTAAATGAATCTGCCCCATGCCAGATAATTATAGTGGAGAAAATTATTACTCATTATATCTAGAGCAGGAAAATAATGAACAGTGACAATCAGAACACAAAAACAATACCAGATGGTTCAGTGAATTAACAATATCAATTACAACCTTTTTGAATTTACCTTGGAGTTCGGTATTTTTGTTATACTTTTTTACCCTACTTAACAATAAGAAATTGTCGACAGTGGAGCTAGGCTACTAAATACTAAAAACCAGACAATTTATCGTTGGTGGATAGTTTTCTTATTGACAAGCATACCAAATTGTCTGATCGTTTTGAAAAGACTGATGCACAAAGAACATATACTATTGACATATGGTAAACATGCAAACACATAACACGGAAAACTAAAGATTGGACGTCGAAATGAATAGCATTTCCATGTCTAAAAATAGCATTTCATTGCACAGTATTAACAAGGTACAATTCAAAAGTTAGACTATATCAACTAACGAAACGAATGGAAAACAACTGTCATATTCCTGACTTGGTGCAGACATTTTCCGAAGAAAATGGTGGGTAAAAACTGGTTTTATAGCTAGCTAAACCTCCCATCCGTATGACAGTTGTTTATAGTTCCGTTATATTGATTAAATTAGTTAAGCAACCCATACATCCATAATTGGTTAATGTGACGATAATTGTGATCAAGCAGGCAATTCTTCGTAAACATTCATCACAGACATACAACACATCTGACTAAAAAATTCAAACAAACATACAAACAAATCTGAAAAAGACGCTAACAATAAAAAAAAAGATATTGTAGTTGATAATAAATCTAACAAAGGCTCAGACAAAAAATTATTGTGTAGTTGATAGTGAATAAAACATAAGGCCGTAGTAGTATACACTTTCACGATTACATTGAAAATAAATTGAATATGAATACAAGGGTGAACAAAATGAAAACAACTCTGTAAAAACGTCTTTTGTCTGAATCACACATCTGAAGGAACGCCCAAAGCCAAAACCCAAACACCCGATAGCTGCACAAAAGTCATACGACCAAAAGGAACATATTATTACAAAGACAAATAAAGGGGGAAATCCTGGCTAATTACTTTTTTGCTCAGACATGGATGACGTTTCCAAAGTCTGAGTATCAGCTGCAACCCTTGAATATCGTATGAGTTGAGAAATGTATACTCCATACGCGGGTGAAGTTGGCATATTGCTACTAAGGTGTGAAAAAATTATAATTTTAAATCATCTGGTTTGTCATTTTGGCACTTTTATGACCGCTCTAGTTAAACTCGAGGTATATGCTTCGAAATAAGGCAGTGGCAGCTCAATAAGTAAGGCGAAAGATACTAAAGGGACATTCAAACTCATAACTCATGACAAAAATAGAAAAAACACAAAGAACAGTACACGAAACACAACATAAAAAACTAAAAATTGAGGAACACGAACTCCATCAAAATTTGGGCCCAATCCCATGTGCTCCGGAAGGGTGAGCAGATCCTGATCCACATGTAGCACCCATCGCCTTGGTTTTTTTAATGTCTAGTTCAGGATGATATATTAATGGGAACCAATCAGAAAAGTTTGGATTGTTATGTGAATTTAACTGAGATTGATTCACATGAAATTCCTTAGATTGGTTGTTAATTTTGTTCTATAACTATTTCTATGTGTTTCTAATTTTATTTGTTATAAGTAATTTAAAGGAAAACAAGATATACGTTTGGTCACACATACCAGATTTAAGCAAAGGTGCCAAAATTTGGCATGCTTTGTATTTAAATGACAAAACATCAAACATCCCATTTGTTTTGTTTGTAAATATGTTTACAGAGACTCTAATTAACAAACACAAATGGTATTCATTTATTTCAAAATTGTTTCCTTGATAATCAACAAAATAAGTATAGTTTGGCACGTCGTTGTAAATGTACACCATATAACAAAAAATTGAAATCACAAAGTATTTTTACAGCATAATTAGCGAATATTTATGGCATCTTTTCCATGAATCAAGTTCAGGAAGCTCGTAATAAGGAAGAAATGAGATCATAGTGATACATAAAGATGGGAGCTAACCAAAAATTAAAAGCCATAAGAATATGAATGGATTAAAATATATTTATTAACGTTAATGGAATTTGCATGACCCCAGCGATCCATCGATCACTGTTGAAAACAGTGTTGATGATTGCACTTTGTTGTATAAGCTTTAAACATGACCCTTTAAAAGGTGAAGTCTGCATCGTGTCAGGAAATGACAGTCATTATTACAATCTGCTTTAGGATCATACATGTTTTATTTAACAATTGCCAACGGATGTTGACCCTTAGATTTTGATACGAAAAATAGACATTTCCTTTTTTTTTAAATTGTCAATGAAGTTATAAAGGAGAATAATACAACTATTTTTTCCACCCTTTTTGTTTTACGTCAAGGTCAAACTAACATCGTTAAAGCCTATCAAGAAATCTGAATGCATTACATATGCTCTATTAGTTTCCTTATCTTGATTTTGAACGGTAATGTACCTCAATTTTAACGTTGAGCAACCACAGTATATGTTTTCTATACGGTATCGAAAAATAGACAGTCAATACAATTATTAATACCCACAGTTTAGGCAAGTTTTGTATTAATAGTGTGATATCATCAATTATCGTTTTCCAAGATTGCATACAAATACTCATTAAGGTAAAATGCATTGCGTAATTTTTAAAGATTCTATAATAGTGGCAATGCATCTTCCCTTTGAATAAGATGTCTTCCTACTATATTATGACGTATGCAATGAACTCATCATGAATTGCGATATCAATTACCGAGAGATTCCGATCACATGTGGTAAGAAATCGGAACAGTGGTGCAACAAAGCAGCAAAGCAGCTATATATGTTTGTCATCATTAATTCGCCGTTTCAAAATATAATGCATTGTGGGTAATATTCTCAAAACGGTACACCAAAACGTCGTGATTGGTTTAAAACGTCCTAAACAATGGAAATTCAACCAATGACGTGACGTTATTTTTATTTTGGGGTACGAATTATATTACTCATAGTCCTTTAGATTCTGAAGCGGCCATTTGTATATACATATTGTATATAAAGACATTCCTTCATAATATTTTTTTTTCGACTTATGCACAATCACGACGGAATTATCAAATTCTTATTGCTATTTACACAATTATAAACAAAACAAACAAACACAACGATGTATAGTTATATAGACCAGCTATATAATAATTTTCCATCACACTCTGCCATACGATCAGCACAAGCCAGTTCATTAGTCGTCCATGTGATTGACTTTACCATTACCTTCTTTACATGCTATCCAACAACCAAGAAATATTATGACTGCCTAAAAATTTAATATAATAAATAAAAGTCAAGTGTAGGAGAGAATAAGGGTCAATTTCCCTTAAATGTATGTCATTCAAACCTTACAAAATTCAATCCTTGCCAAATAAGAAAAGATTGGAGAAATAATGAAAAGATATCCAAAAAATTAATACTCGAAAAGTAGCCGTTTGTTCGTTTCTTCAATGATTAAAAGTATTCTTTGTTATCTTATTTTTTTAGTTAATAAACTTTATTATTGTACAACTCCATCAGGTAAAGTTGACCCTAGACGGTTTTGACTTTTTTCATTTATTTATGCGTTGTTTTATCAACCTCGGTAGTTTCCAACGGTAACATTCACCAAAAAGCAAGTGGTTGGTGCAGGGTTCCCCCTGGATCAATTTCTTTTTTCGCCACCCCTTTTTGACAAAACAATAGTTTTTTTCCACAACTAACATAAACAGATTTTTGCTTAGGACTTGTTTTCCTTCTTGCTAACAAGCAAATCCAGTTTGTAGCATTGTTGTTTCTTTTATTATTATTCTACAAATCTATGTTATATCATATATTATAATAAATGAACACTAAATTAAAAAAAAAAATTTTTAACGATACTGTAAAATTTGACTTCTGGGAACACAGGATTCATCTTCAGTTTTTATTAGATACGTCCTGCCTACCTAAAGGACAATGATTAAATCTATAGATTTTTCTTTCTATTGACCCCTTTCTTCAAAACAGTTTTCTTTTCCAGACCATAATAAGAAGTAAATTATGAGACGAAAATCTTTACTTATAACAGGTGCGCCGCTAAAACGATGTGAAGTACCCTCTTCAAAACAATTATTTTCATCAAAGTTGTTAAA